TTTCTTTTACTATATAAATTTCTTTGCAAACAATAGTATTGTTTGCAAAGAAATTTACATAGTAAAAGAAAGGTTTTTTAAAGATATCTTGGCACATACAAGACCAATTTTAATGTTATACCCACCATCAGATACATCTTGATGGGCTCTACAAAAGTCTCTTAAGCCAGAAGAGTAATTAATTTAGTATAAAAAAAAGTTTTAAATACATGCACTCCATATTCAGAAGATCTATATATTTTACTATGATGATTCTCTGGTTAACTGGTGAATCACCAATTAAAATATTAAAATCTACAAAGCCTAATAAAGTATTGGCAAGACTGCTGAAAAAAAAAAAAATAGATTATATAGACAGTTGTAAGCAGTGTTTAAATTTTTAATATTCATCATAAAGAACATTAATTTTTAATATTATTCATAATTTAATTAAAATATTTTTAATATATAAATTAAATAGTACAATCTATTAGATACAGCTTTAGAAGTTGATTAATCAACTTTAATTAATTGATAAAAACAATTAAAAAGTACTTAATATTATTAAATATATAGTTAATATTAAATATACTGTATTTGTTCTATATAATACAATATGTAATATATATATACTTATATTCAGTTTCTTGATTCGGGTAAATTTTTTTTATGCAGTATTAAGTGATTGTCAAAGCTAATTTAAAAAAAGTTAATTAAAGAGTGTCGCTAAAGAAAAATATGATTTATATTTAAATTTTCAGGGTTTCTTTTAGCGACACTCACATATAATGCAGTTTTACAAAACAGTATCATAATGAAAACAGATATGTAGTATACTTTATATAAATATAAAATCGGAACCTTAAAACATTAAAGTGATTATATTAATATAAATAAATTTATGTATTATAGATTTAATAAATAAGAACATTATACATAATTTATTGTTTTTTAATAATAAATTTGAGAACAAAAAAAATTCATAAATGTTCTCAAATAAGAGAGCATTATTTTAGTTATTAATGTTCTTAAAAAAAATTAGATTTAATTAAGCTGATCTAAATAAACAGCTACTAATCGTTTACCTTAGCATAAAGTAAGTATAGGTATTATGGTGCAATTAAAATAAAATTTAGTATAACTCATGATCTATCTATTCAAATTGACTGATTAATTGTTCTTTAAAAGAACATGAGAACATCAAATTTTAAACACTGGTTTTAACAACTAACTTATAATAATATAAAAAAACATATTTAACATATTTTACTAGATTCAAAAATTCACGTTTTTATTTGATCGGGTTTTATGACTTGTAATCATACTTTAATCAGTAAAAAAACACAAGTTTCTAGCAACACTTTGTACCGGAAAGTAGTGATTATAAGTAGAGCTGGGATCCGTTGAATATCCATTATGACTATTCAATGAATAATCACGGGTTTTTGCCATCCACGAATGATATTGAATGAATATTCAAATTTTATATGAATGTCACGTAATAGTAAAACCTTAGATTATCATCTCGAATATTCACGAATTCCGTGTAAAAACTAATAATACTCTAATCCTTAAATATTCGTGAATTTTGTGTACCCAAATATTCACTTTTAATTGAATATTCATTTTTGACCGTGGATATTCACGGATCCCAGCTCTACTTCTATAAAAGGGGTGGTTTATGTGGCAATTTACGGTATGTAGTAATTGCATAGTATATAGTTACGTAGTAATTACATATTTACTATTAAATTTAATCGTAACTACTATGCAATTACTGCGAATTAAGAGATTTAAAGTTTCTGTGGTTAATTTTTAGGGAAGGCTTTCACATGTTGACAGTCATTTCCGATAATAATTTCCTAAAAACTATTCGATATACCATTATGGTAACCACGTGTAACCTAATTGGTCAACATTTATGTAATACAACCATTGTGGAATGAAAGCAGGGACCAGAAAATTCGGATATTTTCATCGTTATTCCAATTTCTATAAATAATATATCCGGTCTCCGAAGTAATACGTAGTTGTGCCCTAAAACAGCTAATTGTGGATGTGAATTCGAATGATTTTGTAATATTTAATTTTTCAATGAAAGATCATGAAATACCTACACTCGAATATATAGTATTTGCTTTTAAGAACAAGGTGTGCAATTGACTGGATCACATGATAATTGGTTCGTCAAATTACTAATAACTTTCAACTTGAAAGTTATTTAATAATAATTCTGTTTTTTTTTTTAATATAAATTTTATATAAAATATATATTTTAAAAAGCCATTTGAACATTATTTATTTGAGTTTCTCATTGGTTGTTATATTTGGTTTTGTGTAACAGTCGAAATAGATCATTTGATCTCGTGACAATGAGTTGACCAATCAGATTTATGGGGAAAAATAGGTAAATTTAGAATTCGTGTAAATAAATGAACTTCTATGCTTTCTTTTCAGGATAACGTGCGCTATTTCTATATTAATGATAGCTGATAACAGAATAGCAACAGAATATCTAAGAGCTGCTTGAAGGTAAAATGCTTGAAAAGAACCATTTGCTTATTTCATGCTTTGCTAAGTTTATACCATTCTGATTTGAATTGTTATTTTCTTTTCAGAGAACCTTTTTACATAGAAAAGCAATAAAATGGCTTCACAATATGAATTCTTTGCGACAATTAAACTGGAAGCAATTTGTGGTACAACATTAAAGACTCAATAGGTTTATATACGTACCTTTGGTGTTGTCCGGAATTTTAACGCGACTCGATTTCTCAGTGTTCTGTAATGTTATGCAATGCCTGTGCGACTGTGACGAAGTTTTTATAGTAACAAAAGGCGATCATGTATGTTAAACTGTTGTTTACCGACGTATGAAATATGATATTAACAATAATTTATATAATTATGTTATTATTCCTAAGATGTATTTGTCAGGAATTGATGTCGAAGGTTGGCCAAATTCCGTTATCAAGTTGAAAGCACGAATATTTTCGGAGTATCACGCATCATATGAGAATTCCTATAAACTTCCTTCACCTGGAATCAAGCCGATTTTTAAGTGTCTCACTAAGATCACGAAATTAACGCTCTATGTTAAACGAAATTCTGACCGCATAGTCTTCGAAATTGGTGATCAAACGGGTAATTCACATTATAAAATATTATTAAGTTTATCATTATAGATTAATAGAAATAATTTATACATCTACATAGCTGATCTTATGAAATTCTCCCGTAATTATGCCAACCTTGCAAATTTCGGTACTTTGGTCTCAGACATTGATCCTAAGGATTGCAAAAATAAATGGATTGTTGACCCATTGATCGTGAAAAATTGGTTGAATGAGTTAGGTCGAACGGTGAACGATATCACACTTTATCATACACTTGATGTACTTCACATAGAAGCAGTTGATACGATGACAGAAGATGAAGGTGAGCGAAGTATTTTAGGAACATCTATGAAAAAAAGTTATAACAAATAATTTTCAATAATCCAGAAGGGATCGGACAATCAGTGATCTCAAATTTCTGCGTTAATAAGAAAGATTTTAAAGAATATGAGATTGACAAAACATTGGCTATAACTCTCTTTATTCCACTCTTAAAGGTATGTATATATGCATGTAATTTTTTTAAGATTAAATATTATATTATAATAGTGTATATTAGTAATATATTGTACTAAGGTGTATTTTATACCAAATAGAAAATCTGCAACCTAGCAAACTCTATGGAAAGTGATCTTAAAGTACATTTTGAAACTGAAGAAGACCGGTAAGTGCATGAGTATGCATATTAAAGATATAATTAAGAGATTCGTAAATTTATTTTTATCAACATTTTGTAGAACATTGACGAAATTGAATCTATTTCAAATGCCAATGCTTTTTAATTCAGAAAACGAATTTATTAAAATGGAAGCAATGATGTATGGTAGTAGGGCTGGCTCAACAGATCCAAATAGCGTAAGGATTCCGCAAGCAACAATGGATGTTTTGGAGAGAAATGAACATCTGGAAGATATAGAGATGCTAAATATTCCAGAGGGTGGATTGATTTCTGTAGAAGACAGAATGTTGTTACAATGACTGTAATTTCAGTCGATCTGAATTGAGCACAAGAATTGACAAAATTTTTAATATAATTATTGTCAACTGTAAAGATTTGCTTTTCCAATGTTTACAGTCTCGTTTGGACTGAAATGATGAATTAAGTTATCATTGTTCATGAATATCGAAGTACTATTTTTTATATTTCAAGAATTTTTCGAATTTCTGTTCCTTATTACGTATAATAATAATAAAAATAAGTTATCCGAATAAGTCTATACTATTGCAATTTTACCTTTGGGGACTAAACTGCAATATAATCAACTAGAAATTTTTATTACCTAAGCCAATCTAATATACAATTAAGCAAAAACACGGCTTGACCAGTGTCTAAAATCTATATTACGGGTGATACGAGATAGCGTCGAAACAACAAAGCTTATGCGGACTTAGACGTGATTACGACAGCAATTCTTAAATGTGCCAGGTTGGTGGCACATTAATCAGCCACAGTTCATAAAAAAATTTCATTCGATGAAAATTTCACCAAGTGTTTCATTAATCGTCCTGTATTTTGTAGGCTTTCTATTTTCTTTTGTAATACGTAATAGTCAAAACTTTCTATACTGAATTATTAAATTTTAAAATTTTTAGTTCCCAAGGTTCATTATAAAGAGTTGACTGTACTCTGCACGTAAATAGTATATACAGATATTATTACATAATTTTGAATGTATAATTAACAAAGCTTATTAAAGTTTTAAAAGTGAACCATCTTTATACCGTACGTAAATAAGAAACCATGAGGAGCATTGTGTAACTATGCATATAGTGTTCAGAGTTGATTCTGAAAATCAGCTAGTTGTTTCTTATTTAAATAAATTCTCCTGTTTTGAATCTATTCCACCTATTTAATAAAAGGAATCAAACAAAAAATTATATGACAGTATTATGTGATGATAGTAACCTTGACGTTTAATCTTAGCTTAAAATTAGAGGTAAATTTTTTCTACCGATTATAAATTATAATAACATCTAAAATACTGAAATATATAGCGGTGAATTTCACCCCCGGTGAATGCACTTAGTTTAAATATATACTCACTAACCAAATTAATACGAATATGAGGCATTGAATAAATACGTATACACAAATTTAGTATACAATACTGTATCTATTGTTTATTTCATGGCGCAAAAATTTGGAGGCTGTGAATTTTATCCAATCCGATTGTAAGTTCATTCGTAGTAAAAAATGACGAAAACTCATAAATTTGCTATGGAAACTAAATTTTCTGTTATTGAGTAAATTTTTTCGACAGATTTAGTTATATCACTTCTATTTTATTAATACAAATACTGTATTAATATTTAGATAGTATTGTTGTCGCATTAGTCACGTGATACGCACAGGGCATAGGATCGATTTTCCGATGACGTAAATAACATTTAAGTCTGGATTCAAAAATAATTACCTATATTACAGCCAATGATGAAAACAATTGAGAATTGGAGAGAATAAATAGCAAAGTGAAAAATCGTCTGAAATAAATTTATTTGTTTAAGTATATAATTTGTTTGGATTTTAACAGATTACATAATGCTTCTCAATGGAAAATCTATGCTGTGGATAGGAGTGTCCCTGAGGATATCTATTTCACGAAATGAATTTTCACGTTTAAGCAATATGGACACCATTTTAACATACCTTATATATACCATTGAAATTCATAAACCACTTAAGGCCGCTCATTGCTATCACGGCCTAAATATACTTGCTGACAAAACTATAGATCTTCCCAAATAAAAATTTATCCCAAATTCTAAACATAATTTAATTATTTCGAAACCCACCCTTCACAGATTTGCCAACAAGTATAGGCCCAAGTTATTCATCAAAATTTTTAAATCCAGATAAATATAGTCAAACCACCCTAAATGCAACTCGGGACCAAACTTTTGACAGCTTGTATTTAGATAATAAAAAAATTGCATTTATGTGAGGTCTATTATATATTTGAGCTAGAGATAAAAGTTGTACTTGGAGATATTGCATTTAGAGACCACATAGAAGGGTTTGACTGTAATTTTTTTTTACATTAAGCATTGATAATTGTTATTGATGAGATTAAACAACAGTAATTATGCACAATCTTTACGTGGTGAGTCAGCAGAGACACACCAAAATTATATAGATATATATGCTTTAAATTTCGAATTAAAATATTTCAACAACCGTTAAAAATATATATTTTATAATTATATATACTTATAGAATTATAGAATATTAATAATTGTTGAGATATTTTATTTAAAGTTTAGATTAGGTGCATTCCTATTGACTTACCCAATATGTATAATTAACTATCAAAACCAAACTTTTAATTGTATTGATAGATTTTTGTTCTGAAAATCATTTTTTGAATATGTTATATCAGAAATTGGAATAAGGTTTATTCTGAGTTAATACTTATGAATGATAAGTTTATTATAACATACCGTGTTTATTTATTGACTTATTGATATACCCTTATTAAAATCTTTATGTACCAAACGAAAAAAATTGATATTAATAAATTAAAATAAAAAATGGTAATGTTACATACACTAAATGCCAAATGATATTTTAGTAATAATAAAACAATTAAGGGTCTAATTCACGTTAGCCGTTCTTTGTCTTGTAAGAACTACACTTTTATAAAGTACTTTTCTAGCATCATCTTTACCTTTAACACTAACCAATGGGAATGAGCAAATTTCTACTTCTAAATCATGAATTTCATGATCATCCCATGTTCCTTCCATAATATTGATCTGCAAAGGTGTTCCAGCTTCAAAAAATTCTGTAAATTCTGGTACAGGCTCTTGTGCAATTAATCTAAAATATAAGAGCGCAACGTCTCTCGCTATTTTTTCTGCCTTTTCATGTGATTCCGTTTGCTTTTCCTTATTCTTGAATTGTCGATATTTACCAACAGTTTTTAGAATTGTGTCTGTTAATTGATCAATAAATGGATGTTTATCATTACAAAATCCTCGAGTTCCTAACACTGAATAAACTTGCTGACGGATATTTATAGGTGTTACACGTGTTATATCGTCAGTTCCTTCCCGCGACTCAGAAAGTTGCTGCACTAAGTCGCATAATACTTTCATGCATGCTGCTATTTCTGCCTCAAGATTATTGTCATCAACTTCAACAGCAAATTCAATAGTTTGCTCTTGCTCAACAGTTGGCTCTTGCCCTGGGATTGGAGGTAGAGGTGGTCTTGTAAGTGATTGTGACCTTCCAATGGCAATCGCAGCGCGTGCTTTCTTTTCTGGATCCTGTTTATCTACTTCTTGTGGTTGTGGTTGTCGTGACTGTTGTGGTTGTTGTGGTGGTTGTGGTAATTGCTTTGGTTGTTGTGGTTGAGGATGATCACTTTGCTGATCTGAGGACTGTAATGATAAAGGTGATTGTTGTTGGTTTTCAAATTTTGGTTGAAATAAGTATTCACTAATAAAGCGAAATATTTCCTCAAGAATATGACGTTGTAAAGCAGCACTTAACACTGGTTTTCCCTTTCCTTCCCCAACCCTCATTGCGCATTTGTAATGAAGTAATAGTTCATTAGCAGCATTTTCATTAATAGACACATCTTTGCCTTTAACTGAGGTGAATTCTTCCAATAAAACCACTATACCAGAAATCGTTTTTGCAAGTTCCACTGTATTACTGTTGCTATCGTCCCCAAAATGAAAATTTTTAGCTTTTCCAAGAGCATCTTGGTATTTACGAGTTTCTTTCTCTAAGTCTACAAGTTGTTTCTTTAAATTTTGAATTTCAAGATCTGATTCATTACTTCTACGTTGCCATCGATTTTTTTCAGATTCAAAACGTAAGTTTAATTCCTGAAGTGAATTTTGTAATGATCCATTGTTTGTTTCTGCTTCACTAACTTGTAACTGTAACTGTTTTGTTTCTTTCTCCAATTCTTCATTTTGTTTTTTATATTTGTCATCTGCATTTTGCATCATTCTATATTTTTCTTCTGCATCTTTAGCATTAGCAGAAAACCGTATGTTCTCATAGTTTTCCTCCTTTTCTTCATTTCGTTTATTGTGCCGACCTTAAAGATTATTTTAAAGAAAATAAATTTTCATCATCCGGAATTTTGCAATATTATTTAGTTTCTAAAACCTCACCCGCATTGTATGGCCTCTTTGGTTTTTTGGTTGGTGGTGGTGGCGGCCCGGACATTATAAATTATTCAGGCCTTCAATTATCGAAAATTAAGTTATATGAAAAATTTCTATATCTCGTCGGAAGTAAGGGCTGAGTCAAATGTTCGCTGTTAATGTTGTTAATGTACTTGTGTTTTTAAAATATGTTAATGTTTGTAATACTTGTTATACGACAGTTACGGATAAGTGCTTTCATTTAATAAAACGCTTATCAATTACATAATTGGAATAAAAAAGTTATTTTTATGCCAAATATTTTACCTGGTAGTAGTATTTTTCGATCACATGATCTACTGCAAAAAATCATCCCTATTTCTGTATTTAATGAAAAATAATATAAGCGAAAAATGCCCCCCGCTTTCTATTACCTAGAATAGCATAACGGCAAGAAATTGAACCGATTTCCTTTTATGGTAAATTTCTTTAGCCAACCGCCTATTATTCTACAGCAGTCTTGTCGGCTGTGGTATCTCTTAAAAAAGATACTGCGTTCTAACTTTAGTTGATAATGCTAAAAGTTTCTTAACGAGAAAAATTTAAACTACGCAAAATAAGTGAACAAAGCACTGTGTGTTGAAACGTAACTTTTTTTGTACAGTTTCTGTTTTTTTTTTTTTTACTACAATATACGTGTTCAGCTTTGACGAGTTAGACTATCCGTACAAATATGGTTAACTCTCCATTGCCAACAGATCTAGCAGGTAAATACATATTTACATTTACTTACAATGGCTTTTTTATTACTGTCAAGCAACTTTAAAACGTATTTGTTTCCCAGGCGAATGTAGAAAAGCGGCAAAAATCCTGAATAGCTTCATTGGTATGTACTAGTTGCCATTATTATATTTTGCCTTTAAATTTCAATTTTTCCTCAATTCATGATTTGCTCGGTGATTGCTATTTCCTGCCTTCTATAGATCCGATTGCAGCAAAGGTATGTTAAAATTGGGGTCATATGGGTGAAAATCCCCCATTAGAAGCAGAGTAACGGTTGGGGTTTCCGTGGTCCATCACCCCTATAATTGATGAAATTTTTTGAAATAATTCATTTAATGTTTAACATCTTATTATTGTTCTAAAGGGTCCTGATAAGGTTATTCCACCAAATATTTTGCAAAAAGCAAAAGGCTTTGCGATTTTTACCGTTATCAAGGCTGGCTTTGTTTTCTCAGGAAGAGCGGGTTCGGGATTAGTCATTGCAAGGTATATCACGCGTTATTTATATACTATTTTAATAGTAGAAACTAATTTAAAATTTATCCATTCTTTTTTTTCTAGACTTGAAGACGGATGTAAGCAGTTCACTTTAAACATGATTAATCATCATTAAATTCTTAATTTAATTAATTAATCTAATTCTGTACATTCTAGCATGGTCCGCTCCATCAGCAATTGGTACTGGTGGTATGGTAAGCTTGATAAAATAATTTTTATCTATTCCTTATAATCATGTTGATTTATTTTGCTGCTTTTATAGGGTTTCGGTGGACAAATTGGTGCCGAGATCACTGATTTTGTTATAGTCTTGAACAGTAAAGCTGCTGTTAAATCTTTTATGCATGGTGGAAATGTTACTTTAGGTGGAAATTTGTAAGTACATATGTTTTTTTTCATTTTTTGATTTTCGTTCTCATTTATTTGTAATTTCTTTGCATCCAACATTCTACCGTCTATTTGTTGAAATTAATTATAGGTCAGGTATGTTAATAATGTGTTCCGGATAATATGCTGGATTATGGACAAGATTATATCAGTCTTACTTACTAGTTTTGATAATATTGATAGTTGCTGCTGGCCCAATTGGGAGAAATGCAGAGGGTGCTGGTTCTGTTTCTCTTGGGCACGTTGCTGCTGTATTTTCTTACAGGTTAGTTCAATAAATTTGTTTACGATAATATGTATTGAATGTATTGATTTATATTGCATTTCTATTTTAGCAAAACAAAAGGTCTATTTGCAGGTGTTTCTATCGAAGGTTCTATCATTATTGAACGCAAAGATGCAAATGCGAAATTATATCATCGCAAAGTTACTGCTAAGGAGCTTCTTTCTGGACAAGTACCACCACCACCTCAAGCTGATGTTTTATATAGAGCACTAAGTGCGAAAGCCTCTCGCTCTTCTACTTATGAAACTACAAACTCTGATCTGTCCTCAGAACATGATGATGCTACGTCAACAAGATCAGCAGGAACCTCTCAATCCGTTCCGAGAAATTATCGTCATAGTCAGCCACCTCCATATTCTGCCATAAAACCAAAATCAGGAGAGGATAAACCTCGCAATACAAACCCTTTTGATGCTGACAATTCAAATTCTGCAAAGTCTGTTAATCGATCGATTTCCTTATCTCATAACAATTCATCCAAACCTCCGCCAATAGCGCCAAAACCACAGATTCCTCCTCGTGCACCAAAACCACAAACAGCTATTGCATTGTATGATTTTACTGGAGAACAAGAAGGTGACCTTGGTTTTACAAAAGGAGATCTTATCATTGTTACGAAGAAAACAGAATCCAACAATGATTGGTGTGAATTGGTTTAATATTTCTATTTGCCTATTATGCTCATTATATAGACTCATGGAATATTAACATAATCTTAACAACATTTTTAGGTGGACTGGAAAATGTAAAGGACAAGAAGGAATTGTAAGTTTTAAGTTTATTTTTAACTCATTTTATTATGTCGTTTATTAATTTAGTTCTTTTTTTCCAGTTCCCTGCCAATTATGTGCAACTACAATAAGAATGAAGAGGCAGAAACATGTTATCTAAAATTATACTAAAATTCTATATCATTATTTGTTATTTATCAAATTTTTCGCGTTATTTTTTGCTTGCATACTATATATAGTCTCACCACACGCACCTATTCCTTATACTGTCATACTATCATACTATTATAACGTTGAAATATTCTGCAATACAAACTATGGTCTAATACAGCTCGTTAGTTGAATCGTGAAACTTGCAGGTAGATTTCTCTGTAAGAGATGGTATTCAAATGATCGCTAGGCCACAATGTATTATTTCTCCATATCTAAGCAGTTGTCATTTCAATTTTTCAAGAGAAGTGTAATTTTATAAAGTATTTTTGTCAATTTAGCTTTATAAAAATTGAAATTTTCCTAGTGAATTTAACTATGTCCATATTACAATTGCTATAAGTATGCGCAATTTTTTTTATTACGTGCGTACGTATGTATATTTACAACATGTACAAAAATGCGCTATCCCAATTTAAATTGCTGCTGAATTTTAAAAATCCATAGTTGAGAAACTCAAGATTTTTGAAGGCATAAAATCGACTTGGTGACCTAAGGCATTTGCACACCACAGAAATGTGGTGTGCGATCAAAATGTCAATAACTTGTGATCGGCTGAAAAATTTTTATAATACGATGGATTCACCAGATCCATCACATTACTGTATTAGTTATACTGCTTTAAATACGATAAGTGTGAATTATTTGATAGGATATAAACAAAAGAATCGAATAGGAAAACTCGCAGTTATCACCTAAGGTTATCATAATTAATTTATAGTTGACAGCTAAATTGCTGAATTGCGACCACATTGTCGTTTTCTTATTGCGTTATTTCCAAATTATATTGCATTCGGAAATGCGAAATTTGTACCGTATTGTCGCGAAGTAACGTCAACCTGCGTTATTTGAGTATATGCGCGTTATTTAAAGTACGCGCTTGTGTGGGCGAATAAATTTTTTATGCTTAAGTTTTTTTATTTATTTATTTTTACTTTTATATTTTTATTAACTTCAAGGCTTTTCTTTAAATATTTTATTCTTTTTTTTTTTATTTTATTTTTTTTTAAATTAATCGTTTAACCGTATCTTGTAACTGTTTACCAAACTGGCTCTAATATCAGTTTCAAAAACTTTGAACATCATTCAGGCGAGATAAAATTTGTGCAGTTAAATGATTTCAATCCTGACATTTCTTAAATTTTTAGCATTTCCATTTTTCGAATTATAATTCCATCTTTCGGAATACAGTATTTTTTTAGTATGTTCATCTTTCAGGATTTTGCTAACAAAAATGACCCTTTGGGACTATGATTTGTATAGTCCCAGTGGGTTAGTGTTTGGATCCGTGGATATCCGACTATTTTTTAGCTCAATCCGCTGGATTTTTACACCTGATCATAAACTATCCGATAAGATTTGTTGAATCCAAATTTTCTGATATCAGATATAGTGAATTTACTAATAAAATTCTCAATATAGCGGATTTAGTGTTTGGATTTTAAAAATTTTACTAATAGAATCGATTATTTCATTATAACGAGTGTGACTAATATAATTTATATATATGTTGTGCCTCAGATTAATGCTTGCGTCAGATGTCAACTTTTTGGCCCGCATTAACTGATCGACATTGA